GGGCTCTGTCAACCTTCTATTATCAAGCTTGAGACAGCTGTAGTTCAATTTTAATTAATTCCTCATAGACACAGGGGCCAGCTACTATGTTTGTTTTTTTACCACTTTTTATCATCTGATTTTATTTTATTAGAGCAGGACACTAAAATTGATTACTTGGTTACTTATATTCTTATAGTTCAATTTGTGTTCTATCTAAAATATTGAATCAGATACTACATATTTTCCATCTCTCTTTTCTTGCAAAAGCATAATTTATTTTAAAATCTAAGACAAATGTTGGTCTTTGACTTACTGGTTAGCCTTCATTATTACTAATGAAAATGTATTGATCTGCTTCCACATGCTGAGACGAAATTGGAATATAAAGGGATTAAAAGTCAATGCATGCCATTTCCCTGGTCCAGTATCTTTAAGACACACTGGAATAGTCTAAGATTCATTTATCCATTAAAAAATATTCACATCATCAGTTTCATTTGTGCCAAGATAACTGCTTGGAAAAGGAACTTAGCTTTTATTGGCTATGGTAACTACAGGGCTAGAACATTAAGAACAATGTTCTTACAAGCTTGTCTCCGATTATTTTAATGAGGGATGAAAATTCCATGTCTCATTTTGAGGCTTGATTCCCTTTGTGTGCAGCAGCCATGATAACACAGCTCCCTTCAAAGGACTGAGAAAAAAAACTGTGTGTAAAGGTGAGCGGTGCCACCTCTGCCTTGGGAAAACACTAAGGCCTGTTCGTTTCTGTTTAGCAGGAATTCTGAGATAGACAGACATATACATACTCCTCTATTAGACCTTAAGCACAGATGAGCCACACTGCACTATTGGTTCCAGTTTACAAACATTCCAGCTTATAAAAGCGACCACTCTCTCTGTGCTTGCCAGTTAGAACATGGCTTCGTAGAGTGTTTTTCTCGGGGGAGGAATTTGCCCATTAACCTCTGTTAAGAGAAAGGCCATTGGGGGCCAGAGGCCTGAGAACTTTCCATTCAGAGACAAGGGAGCGCAGTGACATATCCCCACACCCATCCTTCCCACTCTATTTCATTTCATTTTCCTCTGATTTGCAGGGTAATCTGCTGAGGATTCTGAAATGGTCATTAGAGTTTAAAATGTAAGAGCTGATTATTGCCGCCTGCTTTGGTCAATTTGAGTCGTGGCTCTGAAAGCCTTTAGGGTCATCGTATATGGAAAGCAAAGACAAAGAATACAACAGTGCTGTTCTAGGCCATGCCCACCAGTCTGGCCTCGGAGGATGTTGGCCACACCCTCTGCTGGTGACAGTTGATATCACAAGCCCTTCCCTTCCCACTTTCCAGACCCTTAACACCTCCGCGTTCCGAAGGCACCCTGGACATTTTGGGAAGAGGCCCCAGGAAGCTGGTCCTGTCTCTGCTGAGGCTGCGTGGCTCCCTCCCTCGCTGCTGAGCCTCCGCAGGACGCTGCAATTAAAGGCGAAGTGAGAGGCTGTGTCAATTCTTAAAAGTACTTTCCTTTGACTCCCCCCGCAATTCTCCATCTCCAGCTTCTCCACAGTTCCAGTGGCTAAGCGGGCAGGCCCTCCTGCCCGACAGCCAAGGTTGGAATCCCAGCTCTGTCACTTCTTCATGTGTGACCTCAGCAAGTGACCAGTTAAATTCTGTGCCTTGGTGTTCCCCTCCGTGAAATGGGTAAAGTAAGTGAGGCTGCCTGATGGGAGTTAGCACGGAGTTAATGAGGACACACCCTAAAACATGCAGAATGGTGCCTGGCACGTTGTAAATGCCCAGTAAATGTCAGATGTCCCTATTTGTAGGCAGAACACAGGTCGAGCGTCAGGAACATGTCACCATAGCTATGGCAACACATTTGTCAAGAGGGCACTATATGGAATTTTTAAGCTATATGATTTTGTAAAACTACAAATCTGCCCTGCTGCAGATTTCTACGATACTTGCATGTGAAGAGAAGCCTCCCAAAGCAAGAAATGCTCTGTAAGCTGGTTTCCTACCACGTTCAAGCAGAAGCCAGCAGAAATACTGGGGTTTTGGAGAAAAGATGGTCAGGCTTGAAACAGAAGAGCAATAGCCTCAAAGCGGGCAGGACCCTCCCCCTCTCTTGCCACCAAAGGCCAGTGTTTTCCCCAGGTGAGTCTGATCAAGTTAATGATTTCAAGGAGGGCAACACTCCCTCTCGGTAGTGCAAGGACATTCCAAAGCCGAACTGAATTCTGAGGAAGAGACTGTGCCTGACAGCATGACCTTTCCCATTAGATTCTACCATCTGGATTGTTCTGGAGCTGATGGATAAGCAAACGGGGGATTCTTCCTCCCAACACCTCCCCACCTCTGTATATTTGGGGTGTTCTGAATGTTTAGAGATTCTTTTGGATACATCAAAATAGCCGTATTAGAAAATTGTGTACTTATTAAGAAGTTTTCTGGTGCCCGGCTGCTGAGCTGAGCCCTGCTTCATGGCACTGAGTGCCCTGTGGGCTGCCTCAAGTGTGAACGGGGTGCTGGAGGGCGAGTCCTAAAAGCCAGAGGTGCACCACAAGAGGGTTTACGTGTCTGGTTATTCCAGGTGCTAGAAAGCCGCGTATTCTGACATCAGGGCTGAGCCCAGAGCAAACTTGTGGAAACGCATCAATATGCTGGTGGTTTAAAGTGTCTGAAAGCAGGGAGGTGAGAACAGACTTGTAGCAGAGACCAGTTAGAAATTCTCATCAAGACCTGATGGGAAGCCAGTTCATTCATTCATTCATTCAAGACACACACAGTGAACACCTATTATGTGCCAAACACTGTTCTAGGCCTAGTTATATAGTAATGAACAACACAGATTCTTGACCCTCATGGAGCTTACATTCTAGGTATGTTCATAGAAGTGCACTAAAAAAAATGTGATGTAATATAGTGGAAATTTCTAGGACATAAAGCTAGAAGAGGAGAGTGCCGATGATACTGTTTTAGATATGATAGCCTCTGAGGTGGGGATGTTTGAACGAGACTGTTGGTGTTCATGTGAAGGGGAATGCCATGTGGCTTTGTAGCAGAAGCTAGAGCAAGTGCAAAGGCCCTGAGGCAGGATGGCACCTAGCAGGATGCAGTGCAGTGAGCAGGGGATCTGGTAGGAGGGCAAATCAGAGAGGGAGCCAGTTGTCACCTCCTCATGCAGGTCAAAAGCAACCAGTCCAGTCTTTGAGCCCCTCCTGTCATGACCACATTTTAATCATCCCAAACGCCCCTGTGATAGGCCCAATGACTCCTTTCCATGTTGCCCAAGCCAATCCACTGTATGGTAGTGGCCTCCGGGGTTCCTAGAGGGCCCAAGTCCATTGGAGGTTATGGTCTCTTCAAGTTTGCTGTTGAGCAGTTCTCTCTCTCTCTCTCTCTCTCTGTCAGTCAGGACACATTCCTAGAAAAGAGAAATATATCTTGAATGCAATGAAATACATATTTACCAGCTTCATAATTTCAAAATACTTGCCTTAACCTTCTTTTATACTTCAGCAAGATCTGACACCAAATGGGTTTTTTCTGCATCTGGGCCTTAACATGCATCCTACAGGGGTCTTTTTTCTTTCAAAAAGTGGCAAGAATAACTCAGAGCAAAGTTGTGTTAACAGGGAAAAATTAATAGAAATTCAGCAATCGATCAATAGCCCAGGATCTCTGGGCTCCATTCTATGAAAGAAAGCTGTCCTTCCCTGTTCGGTCTACAACACGGAGTCTCATTTGTGTGAAAAAAGACGGGCATTACCTTGTAGTAGTTACCTTCCAGTTAGTAGAACTGGAGAGTTCTGAGGTCATTTCCCAAAGGAAATGAAGGCATAAACGATTCTAAAGATATTTTATCACACAAGGAGAAATAAAACTGAAAATTATGCAACAAAACACAGTGGTTCATCTTAAGAAGGAAAACAGTATACATAGAAGTTAATTTCCTACATTTTTATTATCTTCAGTGAAAAGTGAGACACTGAATAAGAATATGTCTTTGTTTTATCTATAGACGGCCTCCTAAGTAGGACACAGGAAAATCTTTTAAAGTGAGTCATTCAGTCTAACCTCTGTCTGCAGGGCATGCCCAGGCTCCCTACTGCATCTGGTCCTGCAAAGAAAGTAGTGAAAATTCATTTTCTAAATATGGTGTTGGCCCACCTCTGCTGCTCCCATTAAAAAGCCACCATTTGGTTAAGGCCATCATAATTCATCATTTTATTGCCCACTGTTACTAGAGCTAATCTGATAGTGCTGATGTCAGAGGATAAGTTGGAAAGTCTTCTGTTCCCTGCTAGACGGATCAGTCAGCTAGGACTGCCGTAATGAGGCACCGAAGAGTAGGTGCCTTAAGCCATAGAAATGTGTATTGTCTCACGGTTCTAGAGGCTGGAAGTGGGATCCAGGTGTGGGCCAGCTTGGTTCCTTCTGAGACTGTGAGGGAGAAACTGTCCCATGGCTCTTTCCAGATTCTGGTGATTTGCTGGTGATCTTTGTCATTCCTTGGTTTGTAGATGCGTTGCCCCAATTTCTGCCTTTATCTTCACATGGCATCCTCCCAGTGTGTGTCTGTCTCTATGTCCAAATTTCCCCTTTCTGTAAGAACATGTTGGATTCAGGCCTACCTGATGACCTCATCTTAACTTGACCACCTGCAAAGGCCCTATTTCCAAATAAGGCCACATTCAGGGCTCTCAGGGTTAACACCTCAACATCCCACAGGGGATGGGACAAGGGGGATGTAATTCAACGCATACCACTAGTGTACAAGTAGGGTAAACAGAAAACCCCCTTTGTAGGACCCTCTTGGATGTCCTTAAGGATTATTCCTAAGGGTGAAAGGATCCTAATAGTAAACAAATCGTCTCTTCTTTATGTAGACATTGCATTGTCAGCCTGAACCCCTTCATACGTGTGTGCATGCGTGTGTGTGTGTGTGTGTGTGTGTGTGTGGTTTAGCTTAATTTCTGGTGAGCACATCCAATCTAACAACTATGCCTTTGCTAACAGGGCAAACTTGGAGATGAACTATGCCAAAGGACTTCAGAAATTGGCAATCAAGCTGAGCAAAGCATTGCAGAACACAAAGAAGAAGTAAGTATATGGAAGGCAAGATAATTCTTAAAGGCAAAATAATACTGAAGATGACAGAAAGTCACATAGGTTTAGTTCCAGCTTCTTAGAACTGTGGCAGGTATATAATGTCAAGCAGGTCTTACAGTCTGTGACACTTACGTGCTCTCATTGAATCCTCACAATAACCCTTGAGAAGCCTTACTGTTGTCTCTATTACAAAGTCTTGAGGCTTAAAGAGTGTAAGAAACTTGCCCCAGTCACACAGAGGAGTGACAGAACTGGATTCCTCCCGCGTCTTTATGACGTGTACACCCAGGTTCTAACAGCCTTGGTAATGATATTTAAACTGGGATGCACGGTTGTTGTGTTGGAAAGTCTTAGAGTCATGAAGTGCAAGTCCTGCTTCATCCCCACTCTGTGACCTTCAGAGAGTAGCCTGGCCTCTCTGTGCCTTGATTGCTCCACAGTTAGATGGAGTAACGGAATGTCAGCCGATGTGTGTCTGTGCGACGGGGAGGGTGTGCATTAAATGACATGATGTATGTAAACAGATTAGCACATTGCATATTGAAAAACTGTTGGTTCATATTTTCCTCCCGATGCATTTCAGAATAAACTCAATTCTGTCTTTTGGGAGAGAGAAAGAAGAAGTTATTCATATTCTAAAAATGGTCCATCAGTGAGCATTTATTATGAAGATTCTTGACTAAAGCTTGCAGATACCACAGTAAACGAGGGGTGCCATTGCAAAAAAGGCTTCTCTTCACGGTTAAAAGGGGAACCTTCTGGAGTTCACATTCCTATTCCTCCTTAGGCGTCACCTGTCATAGCAGATGATGACTTTGAAATTGTTCTGACTTTGAGCTTGATTTTTAGGATAGTATTGTCATAGGTATAAAGGTGCCAGTAAAGAAAAATGGTTGAGTATACAGACTTCTATTAGACTTCCCAGGTTTAAATTCTAGCCCTACCATTTATCAGGGGGGTGAATCAGGCTGATTTATTTTACCTGTCTATTTAAAATGGAAATAAAACCCATCTCATGTAATTGCTGAGGGTTAAAATAAGATAACACAGGAAGTGAGCTTCGTCCCTGGCATGGAGCCAAAGCCCCATGTTCATTATGATTTTGTTCTGATCGCCTCTTAGCGAGGGAGAGCTGTGGGGGTGCTGGGTGTGTGTCTTTCTGTGTTGCGACCCTAGCGTACAGAATGGTGCTCCTGAAAACCGGCATGTCCACAATATTTGGCTAACCAGGATTAGCACAACAATATTTGATATTAAACATTCTTTGACCTTTTATCTATACCAAAATCTGTCTTAGGTACTTGTATAGATAACCTGAGTTATTTCTGTTTTCAAAGACCAAGTCAGTGAGGCTCAGAGAAATCAGCTGATGCTTCCAGGGTCACCCAGGAAACAAAGCTCAGCATGTGGATTCAGACGCAGACCCTGTGAGGCCAGAGCCCTGGGTCTCCTGCTCCGCCGCCCAGCTCCTCCGAGGGACAGGTGTCAGAGTCTCTTCCCAAAAGTGTGCCTGGATTCCTTTGTAAAAAATCAACTCTATTGGTGTTTAATTTGCAAGCAATAATAAGCACTTGTTTTAAATATACGGTTCGGCTGATATCGACATAGTAATGCACCATGTAGCCACCACCAAAATCACAACAAGGACATTTCCATCACCCCAGAAGGATTCCTCGTGTCTGCTTCCCATCCTCCCCCATCCAAGCGATCCCTCACCTGCTTCCTGTCAATACAGAAGCCTCTGGACTTTCCTGGAATTGCCTGCTCCTGGTGGCATACAGCAGGTGGTCTTTCGTGCCTGGTTTTGGGCCTGGCTTCAGACACACAGGAAGCCCAGTGTCCTCTGGTCCAGTTTTCCGTGCCCTGACTGCAGGCACACCTCGGGCATCTGGAGGAAAACCTCGGCAACTTCAGTAGGGGCACAGATCCGTCCCCCGCCCCGTCAGAGTTGGCACAGGCCTCCATCCCTGACGTTCACCGATGCAATTGGACTGATTCTGACCTTGGAAGGCTGACTGTCTGGCCTCCTGTGATCTATGTCCCTTCCATGGGAGAAAAAGCATCACATCCCTGACGCCCCATCCCTCCCCACCACCCCTGTGCCACTCAGGATGAGCTGTACTCTACTCTTCTTAAATTGAGACACTGCTTACAAGACCATAAAACATCCAAGCTATTGTCCTAAAAGCTGGCAGGGAAGAGGAGCTAGACCCCAAGCCCACCAACAGCACAAAGGAAGGACCCAGGTTCTCGGGTCAAGGGGCACTTAGCTTCTCTGAGCCTCAGTTTATTCCTCCTTCTACCCCTGGCACGCTCTCCCCCTCCTGCGCTAAGTGCCATCTCTCTTCTCGGCTACTTTATTCTCTGATTTTCTACAGACATCAAGTGGAAAATGAGTATCAGAATGAAAAATAACAGAAAGAAAGCAGTCTATGTAATGACTGCAGATAAATATGTTGGCAGCACTTAGTCCCCTGGGGAAGCCAACATGTTCGGGAGATGAGTAACTAACTGCTGAGGGCAGCAAATCAGACGTGACATTTCATGTCCCAGACGTTGGAAAAATGACACCCACCTTTGTGCCCCTCCCCTCTTTTTGCCTCCAGCTGTCTCGTCAGTGCGTGGGCCTGGGTCTCGGAGGGCATGAAGTCTGCAGCGGACCTGCATCAGTGAGTGTTCCCGCCCCAGCCCTGCTCCTACCCCAAAGGGCACCATAAATCCGTAAAGCGGGCATCCTGCCAATACTCCTGGCCTGATGAGATGGGCCATAACACACCACGCGATTTCCCTAGAAAGTAATTTGAAAGTAGATATAAATCCTAATACTGTGCTTGTATGTCTTTTGTGCTCTACTTCCAGGAAACTTGGCAAAGCAATTGAGTTGGAAGCGATAAAACCAGCTCATCAAGTCCTCAGTGTCCATGAGAAGAAGAGAAAATCCGTGAGTCAGAATCTTCCTTAAAGCAAGATTTCTGTCTTTGACCCCAAGGAATGAAAGTTGATCTAAAAGTGATACTAGGTTTCAGAAATGTGTCAGAGAAGTCAACACAAACCCAAGATTTATGCACAAGCATGTTTGTTAAAGCATTGCTTATACTAGTGGAAAACTAGAAACTTCTTCATCATTCCAAAATAAATTATGATAAATTCAAGCAATGGAATGTGATGCAACCATTAAAAATCTTCTTATAGAATTTCATAGCAGGGTTTTCTTTTCTCACTACATAGTGTTAAATTAAAACCTAACAATATGATCTCATTTTTGTACAACATGTGCCTGTGAGCATAGAAAAAACCCTGGAAGAACTTACTCAGAGTGTTGATATGAATTATCTCTAGATAGTAGAATTAGGGTGTTTTTATTTCATTTTTTTTGTACTCTTACATTGCCATTGTTTTCTAGTGAAGAGATATTCCTTTTTTAATTAGAAGCATTATAAACACAATTTTTAAGAAGATAAGCTTTTCCATGCTTCTTGTCTTGGGATTAGGTAAAGACAATACTAATAGGTGGATTCCTCAAATAGCCTTAAAATTGCAGAAAAATAACTAAACAATTTTTTCAGGGCACCTGCTCATCTTGTATAGCATATCCTCTAGTCTTCCTTGCAGAAAAGTTTCATTTATGTTATTTTTGTTTTTATTTGTGTGTCCTACAGTCATTAGGCACTTTAAAATACATTTTCAGGCGACATAAAGAGATGTTTAATAAGTGCTGCTAGCCTCCGACAGGGGTGGGTCATGGTCGCTTTGTTCCAAGGCCAGGTGTGCGCAAGAAGGTCAGGAGCAAGTGACAGGTGGTCCTGGGGAAGGGGTGGGTGGTGACGAAGGGGGGTTTCAAGTGACCACAGCGAGATAAAGCAGGTCCTAAAAGTAGTCAGTAGGATGAGGGGACTTGTGAAGCCCCAAAAGTATTTTATTCAAACTCGTTAAACTGAGTCAGGAATGGAGTTGATCTCTGTATGGACGTATGTGTATTTGTACCAGAAAAGATACTCTACTGAGGGCTAGGGTGATGGGGGAAATTTATAGCAATTACTAGAAAGTAATATAATCTTCTGCCTTTGCAAACCAGCTTAATGAAAACCAACACTAGTCTATATTTCTGTAATTACAAGTTATTTCCCATACCACATAATAATATCAGACCTACCAGCATTTTCTTAGTACTTACCACAAATTAGGCACCGTGGATGGGGTCATTACACAGTGCTTTAGATAATTAATATCATGATCCCCTCAAACTGCTGTTCCAGTTCCTAATCTCCTTTTCAGCATTGTCCCTCCCTGCCGTGCCCCTACCAACCGGGGCTGACTGTCTCACAAAAGATGAAAGATGAGAATTTCTTTTTTTAAGTGAACTTGTCCCACATTTCAGCCACATACAGAGCGTTAAAAGTGACATAGCACATAGAATCATTTTCTTTGTAACAATTGTTACAATAAACCACATATTCCAAAGTTAATCAACTGGAAAAAATAGAAGTGCATATTGCTAGATCTCAGGGTGGTGGCCTGAGGGATGAATGTGGGTCTGCAAAAAACGACTGTGGTCCAGGACAAACGGTTCTGCCCTAACTGAACTCTGATCTCTGAGGGGTCACCTAGATGCCTTTATCATTATGATTACTGTCCATTTGACTGTTTAAAAGCAGGAAAAGGAGTTAATTATCATTAAGAATTCAATCTCTTTGAAACTAAAGCAATACGCACTTCAGAGGCACTGACACACAGTAAGATTAGCACTTCCAGGGCTGTGGCCCAGGATGTTACATTTTGTTCTCATGGTGCTAAATGTTGGTCCACAGGCAATAATGCTGACATCAAACCATGGAAGATCCCTGTCCACACGGATTGTACCAGCAATATTGTTTTTACATAGTTATATATCAGAAATAATTATTTTGCCAACTGCATTCAAACTAAATCCTGTCAAGAGATGCCTGACATGGGGACAGGGTAGTGGCTGTTTTTCTCAGGACGCATATCCACAGGGTTTTGAAAGTCCTGTGACTTGAGCTAGTGACTGGGCCAGAACTAAAGGCATTCATCAGTGTGACTCAATAAGGAGATAGCAAAACATTTTTTTCTTTTCTTCTGTTCAATAGCTTGATAATGAAGTTGAAAAGGCAGCAAATCTTGTCATTAGCAACTGGAATCAACAAATAAAGGCAAGTATTCATAAATATCATCAGTGTGAACTCAGTTTTGGGGTCGCAGTTTTGTGCTTTCGCACAAATGTGAGAATGTGTTTTCGCGTTAGAATCTCTTAAGTGCTAACTGAAGAGAAAAATGTTTCCTTATTTGAGTTATTACACAGATACATCTTTCAACTGAACCAACAAAAGAGCAGGGTTCTAAATATGACTATTATTTATGGCTAACCCTTACATAGCATTTACTGGGGACCAGATGCTATACATTTAATCATCACAACAACCCAACGTGGTTTGCGGCCTTGCACTGTCCCATTTTATAGATTGGTGGGGAAACTGAGACACAGAGAGAAATGATTTGCCTGAGGTTACTAAGTTGGTTAATGGTTGAACTAAGAATTGTTACAAGTCACTGTGCTCCACAGTCACTGCTTTCAACCAGTACACCGACTGACTCTCTGTTAATCTGTGACTTAGGGCAAGTGACAAACACTGTCTGAGTTTTGGTTTTTTTTGTTTGTAGAAAGGCATTCGTGATCCCTGTCTCACTAGAGGGAGGAGTACCACGGGTGGGGGTGGGGCAGTAGGTAAAGGGGAAAGTATGTACTGATTCCACATGTTTGCACCGGCCACTTCTTGTGTCTCACACTGTACTAAGGCGTGATTTCTTATTTTCAGGTATTTTAAAAGGTAGTTAGATAACATATATGCAGGAAATAGTGAATGAATTCTAAGTAGAAGAATTATGATCCGGTGTGAGAGTTTAAACCATATCATTATAGGTTCTTAAACAAAGAGAATAGCAGATGGAACCCATAGCTATATGCAGAAGATCATTCTAAAACAATCCAGTTTAGGAGGAATTCATTTTGAATAGAAAGGAATGGAATCCAGGGGAGAAGGCATCTGCTAAGGAAACCTGATGATTGCCTTTGAGAGCACTTGTGCTCCAAAAGTGGAAATTTTTCTTTTTCATCCCCAAAGTGTCAGTGTCCAAGGAGGATGGACATCCCCCTAGTGGATAGCTACTAGTGTCAAAAAAACAGAGATACCCTCAGAAATGGGGGTCCCCACCTCAGCCCTCAGTGTTGCCTCTGAAACTTTGGCTGAAACCAAGCACTCCAGGAGACCAAGGACACAAATAAGGAATGTGTGACATAAATGCATTTCCATATCCATAATAGTAGTATTGATATAAGGATGCTCACAGGAATCGCTTTTACAATAAATATTTAAAAGTCCCATAAACAGTGTCCAGTCATCTGCTTTCAATTTGACTCTTGATTGTATGAGGTTTCTTTAAAGAGAATTTGTTTTGAAAAGTCTGTTCTTTAAACATTCAGCTTTCACAGAAAATTCTGTATAATGGACAAAAGGAGAGAAATCATGCCTAGCAGCTGCAATTGCTTTCAAGAAACAAAAAGCATATTTTATTATTTCCTAGTTTCCACCAAGTAATTTTTCTAAATAAAGTGATTTTACTTTTTATGAAGAGTGACAAATTAGAGAACATGAAATTCTTGAGCTATACTAATTTTCTCCCCAGTTACAATTCGTGATTCAGTGTGTGAGCAGTGAAGCGCCGTCTATTCTAGAGACACAAATGAAAAGCCTTAAAGGACCAGACGTCCTTGCCTCTGCTCCCAGTTAGCAGCCAGCATGTGACCAACCGGTGGAAGGTGGGGGAAAAGGGGCTGTGAGCTTCTGTTCCTACGGTTCCGTCTTGTAAAGGCTTCTGATCTTTAGAGACATTCAGGAGGCTTTGCCACTGATCCCTAAGGAAAAAGAGACCTGAGCTTTTCTCTTCATTATCTGGGTTTACAAAGTCCTTGAAACCTCACGGTGAAAAACCAAAGCCTTTCAATCAACCCGGTCGGCACAGTGTAGAATAAGGATTTATGAGTCGGAACCCATCTGAGATTTGAGACAACAGAGTAGAGGGACTTTACTCTGTTAAACGCTTCTTCTTGCCCAGCTCCCCACGCACCGCTGCAAACACAGGGCATTTCGCAAGATGCCAGGCAAGTGCCCAGCTCTTAAGCCTGGGACTCAGGGAGCAAAATCTCCCCTTCACTGTAAGTTTTAAGGGAACATCTTAAAACAACCTCACTGTGGCCCAGGTTGGTTTAAAAGAATGGTGCAGGCAGTCTTCTGTGTTTTCTGTGCTATTTTTGTGTGTGGGGGAAAGCCATTCCCTTCCATTTTATTAGCTAGAACAATGTTTTGGAGGCTGTGGGCCTTTGGCGATTTAGCAAAATGTATAACTCTCTTGAGCATACTCGATACAAGGAAAATCTGAGTGTTTTTCAGGGGAAAATGTTAGCCACTGTGTTATTTTAGGCAGATTTAGAGGTGAGGGCAGAAATGAAGAACTGAAACTATATAGTCACTCAAACTAACACATGAACATAACTTGTTCCAGAATAGAAGAGTTTTTCTCTTAATATTAGTTTCTGATCCTTTCTCGCTTTTTTGTCTGCTTTTGACCATAGGCCAAGAAGAAATTAATGGTTAGTACCAAGAAGCATGAAGCACTTTTCCATCTTGTAGAAAGCTCCAAGCAAACGGTGACTAAGAAGGAGAAGCAGAAGGTAACCTGGCATGGCTGCTGGGGGCGTGTGGCTGGAGACGGATTGGTTGCCTTCGCTTAACTGTGAACTCAAGAGAAATCATGATTATCCACACTGTGTGGGGTCTCAGAGCTGTAGTGTGGTGAGGTATAAGAAGGGACTCTAGATCATTCGCGGTCCAACATAGATTTTTAAAAGATTATTGACAGATGATAAATTAAACCAATGGTGTCCATTACTTTAAAATATATAATGTACTTTACCTAAGGTGCATATTATGTATAATACTTTATATTTTATATGAATATGATAGGAACATGATAAAATATAAAAAAGTAGAAGTGTTTGAAGGATGAGATGAAGATGAAACAATAATCAATGATGAAATAATGAATAACAAAATAATTTTGAATGATTAACTAATCCTGATATCTTCATATGATCATTAAGTGACATTTCCAGACCAAATATATGCTTGGAGCAAGCTTCAGCCTTAACTGTAGGAAATATAAACTCATATTTCTAGTAGATGTTTTGATCATTTTTAACTTCCTGTCAGATCTCAATAGATTATCTTCCCTTTTTGCCTTTGCATGGGGGGCGCTGATGCTCTCGGAACCAGGAGCAGGAGAAAGCATCGGTTCCAACCCCAGTTACCTGCGGCTTTCTCACGCTTACATCGTTAGTGCAGATGTTGATCCACAGCCTTTTAGCAGAACTCTTTTTAAGGCGTTTGTTGATTTTGTGTATTAACCTAGTAACGCTGGGCTGTACATCTGCAAACCTGCACGATCCAGATACGTGCAGATGGCCACGTGTGCCAGGATGCTAAGGCAAAGGCATCTGTGAGTGCCCCCGTGAGCTCCTCATGTTGTGAAAGTCCCAGCCTTCCTCCGGAACACTTCAGAGTGCACGCCTGTCCCGTGTGGGCACCAGCGCCGATTCGTGTATTAAATAAGAGTAAGCTTGGTAGCATCAGCTTGACCTCAATGAGCCCGAGTTATAAACACGTATGATATTGAAAGGCAGGCAGAAAAGCAAGTATTTCTGGCTGCACGCTAACAGATTATCTTGTACACTTCATGTGATATGTGCCCCAGATTGGAAACCTTTGAAATAGTCCATGTCCTCCCCAAAAGATGGGGGCTCCCTAAAGAAATGCAAACACTACCACTGTAACCCCACAACATTCTTGAAGAAAGAGAAAGTTGTCATTGCCAGTCATGCCATCGTTCTGTTGGAAAAACTTTTCATTGAATAACTTACATTTGTTGTTTGAAAGATCTGACAAGGTTCTCATTTCTTCATGTGTCCATCTCACGGCTCGAGACGATCAGAATAAGCACCGAGTAATGAGCCAGCTTCCGAGACGGTAAACCCACAGCGCGTTAAAATGCTCGGCGCCAGGACATGTCAAGGCCGCAGGAGCCCCATTCTCTGTCGATGTCCATCAATAACAAAGGAAAATCCTGGGCAGCTAGGCAGTGAAGTTCCTTTTCCTTCTCTCCTTAGGAGCTTCGCTGGGAGGTGAAGCCCACGGTCCTCCCGTGTCCTCCTCCAGCTGGTCCTGGTATCACAGACCCCTACCATCTCCATCACTTTATCTGGTGGCTGCTTTTTTGTTTTGGCCCTAAAGCTAAACGCCTCAGGCGGCATTCATTTTGGCATCTCACGTACAAGTGCCCACGGTCTCCCGCCTGAGCTTGAATGGGTTCTGGGCTGCTCAGCGGTCCTTGTTCTCACAAGAAGCTAATCTAAATCTCCATTCTTCTCACACCCCCATCCTCACCACCCACTCTCAGCAGACTCTCACCCCTTACCTTACAAAATTAATAAAAGTTGGCACAGCCACCTGCCTGCTAAAGTCCTGTGTGCAGTGGGACAGACCAATTCATCATTGCTCTGATTTCCATCCCATCCTGCTTCTCAGAAATGCTTTCCTTGATTCGTCCCTTCTCCCCTGTATCTCGGACCCAAAACTCCATGAGAGTGGCTTTCCATCATCTCTCTTCGCTCCCAATCCTGGGAGAGTAGGGTGAGTCAGGGAGACCTGGTTGCACGGCCCTATTCCTGTTCCTCTCCAGATACTATCACCTCTCCTTTTTACAGTAAGATTTGTACAGTGGGTTGTCTGTGCTCTGTCTCCACCTCCTCATCTCCTGTTTACTGCTCAAACCACCCCAGCCAAGCTTTCCCCAGCATTCTACTATGAGTGTCCTTGCCATCAAAGGCAGTGGCGTGCTTGTGGCTAAAGCCAGTGGGTACTGCCCAGTTTTTACCTCATTTAACTTCTTGGAAGCATCAGGCATCACTGGCTTCCCTTTCTAGAACCATTCTCTTCTTTCCGCTTCAGCAACATCTTTCTTTTAGTTTTCCTTTCTGGCAGTTTTTTCTTAAATTCCTTCATGGACGTCCCTTTTTCCACCTGTCCTTTATAAATTGCTTTTTCTGTTGATTTCTCTCCCGGGCATCATTCTGTTTTATTCTGCATTGTACCTCATGCCCAACACAGTATTCTCAGTCTCAGGTACTCAGTAGATACTGCTAAGTCTTTAGCAACATAGCTATGCTGACAGTCTCCATACCTGGCACTCCAGTCCCACTGCCTTCTGGTCCCTCAAAATTAATATCCAAAATCAGAACTATCACTCCGTTCTATCAAAAGTATTCGCTATCCTTGTGTTTTCTAATCTTTGAATACTGCCATCTACCACATCCTCCCGATTCTAACTCCTAAACCAAATACTTACTGGATTTACTTATAAATGCCCACTGCCACCCCCCTCACCCCCCAGTCTCTGCAGGCCACTGTCATTGCTGCTTAGGTTCCTCTCCTGGAGAACTGGTCTCATGGCCTTCAGTGTCGCCTCTTACTATCTATTCCACTTGCAAAAGCCAACCTGACTTTTCTGAAACTCAAATCTGAGGATATTAGTCTCCTTTTAAAAGCCTCCCACAGCTCCCTGGTGACCACAGAATAAAGTACAAACTCTCTTATGTGGCCCTGAAGACCTTCCCTGACTTGACCTCACCTGTCTTTTCAGCATCACCTCTTGCTGTTCTCTCTCACAGTGTGTGCTCCAGCTTCACCAAAAATTGTTCAGTAGCACATCACACTATTTTGCTGCACCGATTCCTACTTCCATCTTAGGTTTATTCACATAGGATCATTCCTGTGGGCACTATGTGCTAAGTCTTAACATAAATGTCATTTTAGTTCACTTTAATATTTAGATCATTTTAAACAGGGCTAGTTTGGGGGCTTCTCTCAATGCCCAGTGACATCTAAATACATCATCCTGGCATCTATCACACAGGATAGGGATGGGTCCCTGCCTAGAGAGTCCCTTTTTCCATTCCCAGAGCATAGTACATCACACAATGTGACACTCAGTAAGTGTTTGATGAATGAATGAAGGAATGTTTGAGATGTTTGTTCAAAGAGAAACAAGGGGGAAAAAAGTATTCACTCTTTGACAAATTTTAATAAAGGTGCCTGAGACATTCCTTAAATAAGAATATAAGAGTCTATATTCTTCTTTTATACCTATTTGAGGTTATTTGCTATAAATTTCACGAGCAGAAACATGTCCTCAATTGCTATAGTGTAGGCTGATGAATGTGAGTGGTCATCTCAAAAGTGACTCCATACTCACTGCTGGAGGTCTAAGGATTCTCAGTAAGAATCTAAGGACAATGATTTAGTGAAATAACGCTATGGCACACTGTCAGCCCTTTCACTATATTGTTATCGAGTTAGAATTCACAAGCTCATGTTTCTGAACATAAATGTGGTTCATTATACTTGATACACAAAAGCAACTGTGTCCTGTGTAAGTCATACATCAGAGCCCAGGGACATTTGAATAGCTAGTATATCAACTGAAATGATAAAATGAGTGGTATTAATGTTCAGCATTTTGAATGAATGTTCTTCATTATTGAAACATTAGTCAAAGTGTCCTTAAACATAAAGAGGGTCATTCTTAAAAGCCTCTGTCTCTGTCCTTGAAACTCCTAACTACTTACGTCAGAGGGATCCTTGGTGCTCCTTAAACTGTGGTTTGAGGACCACTTGCATTGGAACCACCTGGGCAGCTAGTGACAGTGCAGATTTCCTGATAACCCCATGAACGGCTGAGTCAGTATTGCAACTTGTGGGACCCTGAAAATCTCCACGCAGCTTTACAAGCACCCCATGTTATCCCCAGGCATATTGAACTTTGAGACTCATTCATGTAATACCACATCCTCCTTTCTCAAAGACATGAAATCACTTGTCTGAGCATTTTGAGAATCAATCTCAGCTACCCTGGTCCAGAGAGTTTTGTATTCCTATGATTTTTCAGATGATTTCACAATCAGAGTGGCCAATTTTGGTGACTGGCAAGAGGGGCTCCTTACGAAGGAGGCACTCCCTGGGAGCAGGATGGAAGCGTGTGTCGTGCTGTCCGTAACTTACAGTCAACCCCGGCACGGTCTCAGGCTTTTCACTAGTGATCTAGTTCTAAAAATTATATGATTGCACAGATCTCTACCTGTCCTGGTAAGAGCTTCCAGGGCCTGATGGGTTCAGCAAACAAGAGCACGGGACTCATTGAGGCATTACAGCCTTGAGTTGGAGCCTCCTGACGTGCCCTGGGTCCCCCACACCTCTCGTTTGGCCTCCTTCTTGACTGGGGGAATGTGGGCACATCGCATCATGTTTGAGGACTTGGATTTACTCCTGTGAAAAACGGAACGAATCATCCTGAAAGGCCCCTGGGTTTCTTTTCAGCTCTGACATCTCTTTATTCTGAGAAAGATGTTTGATTTTTGTCATCTGTAGTTACTGCTTATGACTTTAGCTGGGGGATGAGAAACATGTATTGGGACGCATATACCTGTCTTTACAGAATTACAAAGGACTTCCGTGGATGTGCTGATGAATGTGTGACACTGACGTTTTATTTCAGCTCCTCAATAAACTGAAAAAATCAGCTGAGAAGTTGGCAAAAGAAGACGAAAATTACTACCAGAAAAACATGGCTGGCTGTTCCACGAGAGTGAAATGGGAAAAGACGCTAGAAAACTGCTACCAGGTAAGTTAGGCTTTTGCGTTGTTTCCTTCTTCTGTGGAGCTTTGTGTGGTCTTGGAAATAAAGGTCAGATCTACGGGTACATGATCGGATGACCTCTGTCCTTAGCTATGACCCTCACTCCTGTTATGACTTTAGACAAACAACATTACTTCTCAGTTGTTTTCATTTCTTCAGGGAAATCAAAGGGCTGTATTTACTGCTTTCAAGGTAGGGTAGATGCAGAATTAGGGAAGAAGGGGTAATTAAAGGTGAGATGAGAACTTGGGCCACTGAGGGGAAGAAATTAGAATAAACCCTTCTTTTTTTTATTTATTATTTTTATTTTGGTATCATTGTGGTTACTAGATTCCCCCCATTATCAAGTCCCCCCCACATACCCCATTACAGTCACTGTCCAGCAGCGTAGTAAGATGCTGTAGAGTCACTACTTGTCTTCGCTGGGCTGTGCTGCCTTCCCTGTGCCCCCCCCCTACATTCTGTGTGCTGATCGCAATGCCCCTTATTCCCCTTCTCCCTCCCCAGCCCCTTTCCCTTTGGTGACTGTCAGTCCAGAGAATGAACCCGTCTGTCACTGACAGCTTCACACCTGAGCTTCTGGAACTCCCCTTGCCTGTGCTGACGAGGTGTTAGGTGACGAGAGACCATGGGTTGAATTTCCAACTTTCTCCCGCTGCAACCCAGCTCTCCAGCCCGCCCTCTGACCTCGCCCTGCCCCCTAGTGCCTCTCAGTGTGGCCTTCCTAGAGGCCAGCCTCCTTGGACAGCCCTGTTAGAAGGGGGTGGGGGGAGAAATGGCTGCTCCCCCTGCATCTTCCAGGCACCTGTCAGGGGCTGTGAGAAAACGCTTAGCCTCGGTGTCTCCACCCTTCTCACTCCTCAGTCTACACCGCGGAGGTGGTGGTAGTTATGGTTCTTACCTGTGTGACTGCAAGATTTCTGGTGTAGCTGACACCTCCCTGGCGTTCAATACCTGTTAGATTTTGCTTTTACTCACTACCCTTCTCTGAGGCTCTTACTAGGCTCTCCTTCCTTTTTTTAAGATTCCTTCTCTTACTAGAGCCTTCCTACATCTTCTCCTCCCACCTCCACCGCCCTTCCATGAGTCCTGACTTCTGTATCGCAGCATCATGGAAGTTATCTTTTTTGCTTATCAAGTCCTCCTTATGGTGACAAGAGACGTATTTATCTACATTTCCAAAGACCTCCTTTCAATTCAACTTTTAAAATATTTAAGACTTAGGGTTTTTATTAGAATCTGTGTCACATGGAGAATCTACTCAGTTCATGAATCAGCATCCAGTTGGGAAAGGAAGGTTTCCTTTCACCCTTCTTGTGTCCGGGCTCATTGCTCCCACCCTGCTGGGGGCCCCCGGTGCTCCCCTCCTTCCCTTTTAGCCCTCACTTCCTCTTCCCCTCTGCCCTCATTGCTGCCCTCTGCCCCCTGCGTGCCCACCGAGCCCACTAGTCCCCTGAGGCTGCTTCCCTCGAGTGGTCCTTGCCGCGCCCTAACCGAAATGGCTCTGCAGGTCCCCGGCTTGCTCACACTCAGTCAGGACCCACAGGGCGCTGGCTCGCGTGTTAGGCTTTGTGTTTTATACGTCCCGGTGCTGCAAACTCAGGAATAAAATGATAGATTCAGGAAGACACCTACCAAAGGTGGGCTGAATTGAATTAAAGGGGAATTTATTATAACTGTTGGAGGTGGAAATGAGACAACTAGATTGTTTTGCTTTTTTTCCTCTATTCTCTCACCAGTATGGAAGAAATGGAATGTACGAATTCGTTTAAATGCCTTATGACATGCCTCCTTACCCCTTCTTACTCTCCAAGTTGGATTTACAAATTCAGAGAATATTCACTGAACTATGCTCAAGGCAGTATATCAGATACCATGAGAAATATTACAGCCTTAAGCAATGAAACCAAGTCCATAAACCACAAGACAAAATGAGTCTTATTACCTCATAACCATACTACGTTCAAGCCACATTTCCTCCTTTCCTAGAAGAAACAATTCAGTTGGTAGGAACCCTCTATAATATATTTTGAAAAATAATAGCCACTCTACCAAGAATCAAACGCTTGGTACTAATAATACTTACTCAAGGAATTACTTTAGAAGGCCATTCGCAGTAAGCGTCACGAGCCTTAAAAATGTTCACATTTCAACCGTGTTCCTCATCTCAACCACAGAACACAGAAAATCATTTAAGCCGCGATTTCCTCTGCTCTCCCAAGCACAGGAGTGACTGACAGGCACCACTCTGCGAGGCAGAGGAGAGATGGTAACTCATTCATACAATGGATGCCTTTGGGCAGGAAAATTTTTTCCTAGAATCCCTGTTAAAAAATATAATTTCTTTTCTGGAAAACCATCTTGAGGAAGTAGCTAAAACCAAAACACAGATTTCTCTTCAAAGTACAATGAAAGAAAAAGAGAGGAAATGGCTAACTTTAAGGGGATGACTGAATGAATCAATACACTGTATGCAGTCCTACATGGTGGACTACATTAAATGGCATTTGGGAAACTAACAGCTTGAGAAACAGCTTATATATAATGAATGTTAAGTGAAAATGAGGATACACACTTAAATGATCTGATAGATAACTAAAAAGATAAAGTCATGGATATACACGTACCTACATAGACTGAAATACATAAAAGATAGTAACAGGGGTCAACTCTGGGTGGAAGAATTACAAATGATTTTTTAAAACCTTTTGGTGGCCCTTTATAGGGTCAGGACAATGTCTCAAAGCCTCCAGGGCACTTGTTAAAATTTAGGTTCTTGACTGCCTCCTTAAACTAGATGAATCAGAACTTCTGAAAGATTTTAGGAACAGGTCTAGGTGATGGCTACGTATACTAAAGTTTGAGGGTCCGTGCTTTAGAAAGTGCATGATGATTCTGTGCTCAGTTCTGTGAAAACAATCTAGATGCAAATGAAGCCCCTCCTTCAAGCTCCTCCCTCTGGGAGCACCGACTGAAGGCCAGGAGAGCCTTCCCTGGGAAGAATGGATGGAGAGTGTGAAGCGTCCTGATGCCTGCCCGGGTCCCAGCCTGGCTCTGAATCTGCCACTCCTTGATGACTCTTTGACCGCACTTCCCTCGTATGTGCTATTGTCAAGCATGGGAGGACAGTTTGAGGTCTTCCAGAGGAACTTAATTCTCTACCACCTATTTTATATAAAAAGAACAAGATAATAGAAAGCAGCAATTCATTACATTAGATAATGGATTTCCCCTTTGCACAGTGGAATTTATCCCAGCCTCCTTTCATGAGCGACCATAGATCATTTTAATGATTTCTCTGAAACATAATTAAAATCTGATAAACAGTAGCATCTCCACCAAAGGACACTGCTTTTTCTGGTCTCAGATTGATGCGAGTGGCTCAGCTCTTGCCAAAGTAAAGAAACAGCTGCCTGCTAGGATGCAATGTACCCCTAAAAGCTGACTTTGGTATTTCCTGTTCTCAGCTCATGGTGCTAAATGAGAACAGCCACTATCTCTCTCTCCTTCTCTATGGTGCAAAGCCTGTTTTTGAAGACCATTCCACTTGAGTTCTAAGCAGCCAAGCAGAGTTGTTTTCCATAGTTGTTGGGACGAATATGGTTTGTGTCCTTTGAAGAGAAGCCATGTGTTTGACAGACTGCTCTTCTGTGTGTTTAATCCTGTGTCTGGCAGCGGAATGCGCACAGCCACATTCAAACGGCTGGTGCCTGTGATTTTGGAGAAAGACTCAGGAGACCAAAAGCAAAGACAAAGGCGTTTGGCTCCCCCTGACTTACAAAAATTGTGCAGCTTCTGACCCAACAAAGAAGGTGGCCACGAGGGAGCAGAACCCCAGGCTTCCTGACCCAGATGTCGGGATATTCGGCACAGAATCGAAAGTTGCCTGTGATTGACATAAGTGTTCATAGTTACTGTCTGAGACTTTTACTACTTGCACTTAATAGCAGTGTTAAAATGAATACATACCAATAAAAAATATGATATACACATACAATAGAATACCATTCAGCCTTAAAAGGGAAGAAAAGTCTGACACGTAGTACAATGAAGATGATCCTTAAAGACTTAATGCTGAGGGAGGTAGGCCAGACGTGAAGGGACAAATATTGCAGGCTTGCCCTTCATGAGACCCCTGGAGCGGCCAAACTCACAGCAGACAGGAAGTGAGTGGTGGTGGCCGGGGGGACTAGGGAGTGGGGAGTGGAGAATTAGTGTTTAATGGTCTCCGAGTTTCAATTTGGCAAGATGAGAAAAGTCCGGCTATGGATGATAAGTGACGGTTGCAGAACAGTGTGAATGTACCTAATGACACCGAACTGTTCACTTACAAATGGTGAAAATAGTAAATTTTATGTTATGTAAATGTTACCACAATTAAAAAATATGAATAAATTTTTAAGTGATTAAAGTGACTGTGCAACATGAAATAGTCATAACTACACAGTTATAACTATAAAACATGAAATAACCATGGAATGTGAATGCAGTCTGTGCACAGAGACACAAAGGAAATCGTGCTGGATCAGGCCAGTGGGCCTTGTACAAGTGCCAGAGAGGCAGGACAGGCCCGGTCTTTGGGGCTCTCTCCCCGCCCCACCGTGGCCCCACCAAAGGCTGTGAGGTGTAGTCCACCCTTCCTGCTTCTGGGATAATGTTAACTACAATTTGCCCAAAGCCTTCCTCCCCAAACACTGCTGCTCCATGCCCTTCCCTGTGTGGGACAGAGTGGGGTGGCATGCGGGTATGAACACAGCCAGCCTGGCCTCTGGGTAAAGGAGGACAACCCAGACCCGGTCCTTACAGAAACAGGGTGAGGAGCATGTTGCCTGGGACACCTGCTACCTCTGTCAAAGCCTGAGGTCCCCTGGGTGCATACCTAGCAGCCTCCTGGGGCCCCACTTGGCCTAGGACCTGCCTCCTCCACCTGACCCAGCCTGCTTGCACAACTGCTGCTGAACTGCTCTGCACCCCTTCAAATTAGCTCAGCTAGCAGCGAGTGGCAAAAATCTAATAACTAACTCTTTCTAAAGTGTTAATGACTGACAAGGCAAATGTGACATCCCTCACTTTCTTGTTGACCCTCCCTAGATAAAAGGGATGAAACTCTGAAAGTGGAATTTTTGTCATTCCACATAAAATGGGGAGCCTGTGTTCCCACCTTCAGGCACTGGTTGCTGACCACTGCCCCCCCCCAGGCCTAATTTTATGCCAAGTTTATGAACTGATCAGACTTTGAGGTTCCTCTCTTGTCAGATGGTTTCCGTAAGCAGAGAGTTGTGCCTCCTCATCTCTGCTCTGCAGAGATTAGCTGAATGCCTTGTATGTCCTCTAAACAATTCTAAAAATATTTAGTGTCTGAATGCATTTCCAGGTTATAAGTATGGGTTCCACTGGACCGCACTCGCCTCTAGAGCTCAAAGATGCTTTTCAAAGGATTCTTTCTCTCCCCCTTCTTTTTGAATGTCAGGTAACTCACGAAATCTGCCAGTATGTGTCTGGGGGCCAAAAGAGCCTGGGGAAGGCCTGTGAGTTAAATCTATCCTAAAGGAGAATAAATAGGACAGGGGCCACCTCACATTCCCGTCCCTGGAATCTGCCTCCAATGCAGGTGCGATACGACATCATCACGAGACACAGACTCTCCTGTAGACTTTTTTCCAGTATGTCCGTGCTTGATGGGCAACTTCAGTTTTGCACAACAACTGGCTGAGCTTACCTCACTTTCCATCATTTTCAGAGCATCCTGGAGCTGCAGAAGGAAAGAATTCAACTTCTGTACAATAACTTAAACCAGTACACCCAACATATTTCTGTTTTTGGCCAAACCCTGACCACAGTGAGTAGAAAAGCATTCTCCCTTTCTGGTGTGTTGGTGGGAACCTGCAGGAGCCACATCCGCACCAACCTTGCTCTGCTTTCCTTGGTGCTGCAGTGCCACACGCAGATTCACTGTGCCGTTGGCAACTTAGATGTCGAAAGAGACGTCCAGGCGCTCATGAAAGACACTGTGGTTTCACCTGCAGAAAATAAATCCGACTTCCTGTTAACGGATTACTTTGTAAGTATGGAATGGAAGGAAGTTCCACTAATGGGGAACCTTAGTCAACTGATGAGGGATTCATTTTGAAAAAAAACAATTGAGAGCAATTGTAAAGGAAACATCTCATTTTCTAAATGAAAATACTTAAATTTTTCATAGTCCATATAAGTAAAAAACTATGTGGTTTAAATGGCAGCAATGGAAACATGTCTTTGCTATTCTTTGGAGGAAGGAAAGTCAAACAGGGTTTCAGACTAAATGTTCATACTTGATTTTTTATAAGAGCAATGCCAGGCAGACGAGTTCTGTGACCTGTAAATAATCCGTGTGTATCATATCCGTCGTCTATTGCTGCATTACAAGTTCCCCCCAAACTAGTGGCTTCAAACAAATGTTTGTTACCTCATAGTTTCTGTGGGTCAGAAATGCAGGCATGGCTTAGCTGGGTGCCTTACTAGGGTGCAGCGCAGGTATCAGCTCACGACTTTGCTGGAGTATGACCCAATTCTGAGCTTATCATGTGGCTGCCGGCGGTCTCTGGTCCTCGCTGACTGTTGGCTGGAGAAATCGGTTCTGTGCCATGTGGGTCTGTCCATCGATGGAGAGCTCCCATGTCAGCCTGCCTCCCCCAGACTAGTGACCAAGCAGGAGCCAGAGCGCGCAGGACGGAAGCAGAGTCTTTACCGTCTAACCTCAGAAGTGGCATCTCATCACAGTCTATTTGTGCGAAGGGCAAGTCAGGAGGTACAGCCCGCGCACGAGGGGATGGGATTGCACGAAGGCATGAATCTTACTGTCCTTACGTGCCTTTGAAAAACTTGCACCAAATTACAGGGGCTCAGTTTGAGGGCATTTAGGCAATTCTCCTAGCCCATGCACTTACTAAAAACTGATCAACACCCCTGGTCAGCGCCCAGGTATCTTGCCTCTTTGCTGTTTTGGGGTAAATCCTTTGTCTTCTTGGGCCATGCATCAAAAGATTTTATCCTCTGCTCCAGTGTGATCTGGAAAGACCGTGAATTGTGACTCAGTAGTGAATTCCCCTTCCTCACCCTTCTGCCTTCAGACAGCACTGAGTGACCAGCTGTTTGTCTAGCTGAGTCACTTGTCCTCCCCTAGCAGAGGTGAGGCAAATTAGCAATAGCAACGTCTGTCCAAAGCAGGAGCAAAGGTGGAGACAGGAATGGAAAGGAGTATTTGATGACACAGGGACGGTACTTTTTTTTCTCCCAAATAGTGTAGGTGGTTCCTGAGGTGGGAAAATGTAAAATAAAATGTCTATTACTTTCCTATACAAATGTCCCTATTGACTAACCTGTCAATGAAATAAGGATCATCCTCTTTGAAAAATTGATTAGGCTTCTATTGAAGTGTAAGGAGACAGCCACAATGGTTTGTTTTTAACACACCCATGGGAAATTTTGATTTCTATGAAACTTCAGTGCACCAGAACTAATCACTATACATCTTTGTCTAAGAGAATCAACTGTATCTCCAAATGGATTGTTGGGATTTTCTTAATATCCTTTAAGGAAAACATCCCCAAGTCTGATATTATAGTCATTGGCAATAAAGCATGAACTAGTTTTTATTTAGTGCTATAAAATTTACATGGGCTAGGGTAAGATGGGGAACAGGTAAAGTGTATTGGACAGCTGGCGACTGGCATGAAGGTGTATGTAAGGTTTCCACGTTGAAAGATTCCATCTGCAGTGTTACATGCCTCCTCCAGGACTGACCTCTCCAACAAATCTTTGGACAAGAAGGACAAATTTAAGGAAATTAAAGGATGGCAGTATATTCCATCTTCAAGTTGGTTCAGCAGCAATCCATCTTTGGAAATAAGTTTGTAAATAATAGGTGTCCTCAAACAAACTAAACAAAGTCCTGGACTAGCACAGGAGCCAGATAATGACGTGTGTTTCTCCAGCGAGAAGGCACTGAAGGTCAAGTTAGGCGTCCTTGTAGTCTGTGCTCACACTGGGGTGGGACGTCAGCAGAGCCTCGGCCCTGGCAGACGTGGGGCGGCGTGGAGTCCGGGAGAGCCCTGGGGCTCCCAGGAGCGCATCAGGAGTGGTTACTTACTAGCCGCTTCATCCAGGGCCTGCGTTTCTCTCGCTGAGTGTCACAGTAACATGGGGGAAATAAAAACCACTCTCAGAGAGTTGTTGTAAGAACCATATGTAATAAAGAATAGAAAGAAATGCTTTTTACTACATAATACACAAAAGGGAAATACCATAGTTACCTATACATAGTAGTTTTATGAAGGCACGTTGCTTCGCTCTGAGTCCCCCACACCTTCCTTTCCCCATGACAATCTATCTAAAGCTAATTTCTCCACCAACATTCAAGATCCCAGGCTTTTCCTTCCTTTCCAGGTAAGTCCTGACCCCTCCACATCCATCCTCAGTCATTAGTGTCCCCTCTTTCTCCAGGGGCTTCTGTCCCGCTGCCACACTCACGTTCAGCCATCTCCCCACCCGACCCTAACAACCTCATTTTGTTTTCATTCAACCCCTGAAATAACATATGCGAATGCTCATATATCATCAGTAGTTTCTCACAGACCCTGTGATAAAACCCCTGCATTAGCTGGACAATCTGGCCTAAACTACTCAGACAACTTTTCTTCCACTAGGTCTGTTTTTGCAACTTGTCTAATTATTGCTCCTGGTCCATTTCACACAGACCCCCCTCTCTCCTTTCCTTGTACCATTTTTCCAGCCGAGAGGATCTGTTGCCCTCCTTGCCTGTGACCAAAAAGGCCTGGTTACGTCTTCTGGCCTCCTTGCAGCTCTCCTGGCCCTGCCCTGGTGGAGTCATGCATGACTGTCTGGCCCATTCATGAATGAACGTGGCCTTGAAGTGCTAGGTCTCGTGATGCTATGCTTCAAGGCCTAACTAAATTTTAAACCCATTCTGGGAAGAATATGTATGTTTTAGCCCACATGTTCCCCAGAGCAGTCACTATAGAACACAATAAACATTTGTGGAACAAATGAGCCTATCTTAGCTCGAGGCGCACACAGGAGTCTACACTCAGGCCATCAAAGAACTCTAAATTGAATAAATAGGGAGCATAAGTATCTAACAAATAGAGTTAAATATCAAGAAACAATGAAATAACTATAGGAAGACTCATCCTCCAAGAATACTTTGTTCTATTAAAGAAAGTGCACAGCTGTGTACGTACAAGTTGTGAACAAGATGTTTTCTTAGTGACCTGGTCTAGAACAATCAGAACTATAGAAAACAAAAGGGTATCCTGCTTTTATTGAATTCTTTTTCCTTTTTTTGTTCCATCAGTTTAAAATGAAATACAGTCAGTGAAAGTCTTAAGGCAACTAGAGTAGCAGCTCTTACTTTCTTTCCTTGCAATTGTTCAGCATCCTTTTTGTTTTCTAAAGGAGGAAGATCCCAGCAATGCAATGACTAAAGAGCGTCAGGAGTCATCCATAAAGTCAAAACTGGTGAGGCTGCAAGGAGATATTGAAAAAGCCTCCAGAGACCAGGAAGGTGTGTAGTTACCTCTGTGGATGGCCTATTTAAAGGGAAAGTGTTCTACGTGAAGGTGTTCACTCAGAGGGCGATTCTGCTTTAGCTGGGTAGGTTAGGGAACATCTTGTTCAAAGACTCTTATGTCAAACCTAATTTGTGCAAATAAAGGAAAATAGGAAAGAAAAAAAGAAAGCAAAAAAAAAATTGAAAATAACATTTTGGCCTATTTGGGAGCTATATATAAGCATTCTACCACCATTTCCAGAAAGGTAGCATTTCACTGTGTTTCTGAAATTGACTGGAATTCGTTTGATTTAAAACTTGGCCAGCGTTCTGCACACAGGGCTTTCGGGTTTTTCATTTGTTTCTTTTTAAGCCATCTTTCTGAATGATGAAGTGACTGTGTTAGAATGTGAAACAGCTCCAAAGCAGTACAGATAATAAAGCAACTCCCCACGGGGACTCTGATGCGTGTAGCTTGTTTTATGTGGGCCAGAACAACACATGGCAGTGGCATGCTTGATAGGGAATCCAGCAGAGCGAAATGTTTAGAAATGTAAACACTACAGAAAGAGAGAGAGGGAGAGAGAGAGAGAGAGACTAACGCTGTAAATCTAACCTGTAAATGTTAGGAGTCAACCATGGAGTGGGTACATAAGGAGGATTCAGAGCTCATCTTGAGAAATAATTAGGACTCCTTAAGCGCCAGCATTTCTCAAAATGCATTAAATGAAGATCCAGGTAAAATGTGAAAGCTGGGTAGGTTACTGAAGATCCATCAGTAAAATGTGAAAACAACGCCCTACAGCAGCACCTCCGCCCTCTGGGAAATCCTCCCGGGTGGTGTCGCTTCTGGGCATAGGCCCCTCTGAGTGTCACCTGCTCTCAGCTGTGCCCGCTAGGACCGGGTGCGCGCGCACTGAGCATGGTCTCCTCTGCAGGCCTGGAACGCATGCTGAAAGCGTACTGCAGCGATGCCTCCTGCCCGGACGCAGAGAGCCAAAAAATCACAGCGGCCTTAATGGACGAGGTAAATATTTGCTGAGCACAGTCCCTGGATTTCATGATCAAAGAGTTATTTTTGGTATGTGCTTGTTTTCTGGCCCATTTGACCTCTGTTTACCTTTCCTTTCTCATGACTTAGAACAATCGAGTCAGAGAACTTGTGTGGTTCCCTCGCCCCTTGACAAGTAGTTTGAGGGATCTGGAAAAATCCAACTATGTAGACGTGTTTGCTTTGGTATCCTGCCAGGAGAAGATTATGTCTGAAATAGAATTCCTCAAACTAGTGTAATTCATTCAGGGTCTGGACACCACATGTACTTCAACCCAGTTAAGGAAAGTGACTGAAAACACAGAGTCTACTCTCAGAAAGGCCTGTATCTGGATCAAGCTCTGCCATTTACAGGGACCCGGGACATTACAGAGACCAGGAAGGTGTGTAATTAGCCCTGTCTAGCTTTCTCATCTGTAAAATGGGGCTATCCGCACCCACCTGAAAGGTTCTTTGTGAGGATGGAGTATTATTTAGAAAGTGCTGGTGCTGTGGTGGGGAGAGCTGAAAACACGCTGATTGTTAGTAAGACGCTGCATTCCGTCCACCCCTCGGCGAGCGTCAGGGTCTCCTGAGAATGACAGAAAAGGAAAGACGTGGCCCCACAGGAGGAGGGCGGTCTGGGTTGTGAGGTGAAAGCTTCCGCGGACACAAGGAAGAGGCCTTAGAGGCCGAGGCTGTTTTGAGGGGAGGGGAGGGACTGTCAGGGGAGGGCAGGGAGAGCCCAGACTCCAGCAGCCCCCCAGACCTTTGTGGGGTTGGTGGACAATGTGGCCCCTCCAGAGGAACTCACGTTAAAAAGGAAGTTAGCAGAGGCCCCCGATTTCTGTATAGGAAGAAAACGAACAGATGCTGTGATTTATGTGCGCACGATACAGGTTTTCTGCTGTGATTAGAGTGAGAGGAAGTTAATCTGAGACGAATTCAGGAAGAGCAAAAATTTTTAGTGATGTTTAGAAGGATAGAGGAAACGGGGCCACCTTTCCTTGCCTCTCTTGTGGAAGTAGGTGCCTAATAATTCTATCCAAACAGGCCATTTCAGTGTTTATTTAGTGAAAAAAATTCAGGTGCGGCCAAGGACGGTTGACCTGCATTTTAGCAGAGGCCTCCACCAGCGGGCACACTGCTGCAGAAACAGACGTGACACATCTGGTGGGAAGGAAGGCCTGGATTCTGTTCCCCGGGGAACAAAGGTCTAACATGCTTGCAATGACACATGGCTAGTTTTTATGCAATTGTAGGACAAACTGTAGGATGTTTTCTGTGACAGCACAAAATGTTTAGTAGCTAATTCCATGCAAACAATATTTACCAAAACAAACTCACACAGAACATTTCATGATGCCATTATCAGTTTATTTCTTTGGTTGTTCAGGCCTAGAATGTGGTTGTCATCACCAGCATAAGACAGGCGTTGGGATCATCTGGGTCCACAGCTAACTGGCCCCAGTTCATACCATGGAGGATGCAAGGTGGGAGAGGAATGGACCCCTGAATCCACAGTGCTTATGATGTAGTGATGGAGTGAGTGCAGACCTTCAAACAGCGGATGCCAAATAGCCATGTGCCTTGGTGACCCACCTCCGCGTCTGGTGGAGGAAAACCCGTGATACTGGTAGATCTCATCACTCCAGGAAGGGTTCTTGCAGGAAGAAAGTTTGTGCATTTAAATGCTCCCTAATTCATTGTCTCTTGGTTCTTGAAGTGCCATATTCAGAGCAAGGCATGTTCTGTGAGAAACTGTCTCAGACCTTGGGGTATGTAGATATTGTCTTCAGATACAGGAAGGAGCTCTGGAAGGAGGGAATAGGCTTGCTCTTGACACTCTCAAATGCAGATGAGGCCGAATGGTAGCAAGTGTGGGTGGGAAGGGGGCTTGATTTCACCTTCAGTAGCTCTGCCCCACAACGTGGTGGATTGTTCCAAGGATTAGAGCCTTCCCCATTGGTTGGAGGTATTCTCCCATGGCTGTGACCCCCTGGCAGGGATGTTAGCATTAGAATCCCCACTGGCAGTGTGGTAAAGGGAGAGATCACCACCGCGAGGAGGAGATTGGATAAACAGGCCCCTTCCAAGGTTTAGATTCTGTTATTTAATTTACCCTGACTGGGGTAGGGCTTGGCAAAGAAGTTATTACAGAGGTCCTAGTTCAAGGTCAAATGTGGACAGTAACTGGGTGTACATCTTTAGCTTCACTCCTTTTTTTTATACTCAAATACTCCAATATATTGTTTCCAGTTTCCAGAAGCATGGCTGTGAACTTTCTGGGGAATGCACGACCTCACATCTTCAAGAAAAACAATCATAACATCAGCAACAATAACAAAGCCCTGCCTCACATCATTTTAGTTTGATTCTGATGATGGGAGTTAATTCTGTTCACCGCACTGAGCACGTACAGCCCACTGCCTTCCTTCATGGCCCTATGGAAGTCCGCCTTCAACAATCAACACTTACTCCCCTTCTCATTCTTCAGCAGAAAATCGAGTAAAGCTGTTCACTGCCACAAAATCCTGAGTCACATATCTCTCAGGGTTTCTGCTTTACCTTGTTTACAAGAGTCCAGAATAAGACACACTCAACAACTAAGGCTTTCCTCTAGACTCATTAAAGGCTCCATTTTTTCTCTTGCAGCATTTTCTGTGCATATCTGCATATGAGTTGAATGTGTACTTTTCCAGACCTCTGCCATTTTGGAAGTTATCCTGGTATATCTTGACCCACACAGTTGTGCCTCCTTTTCTAGAAATTTACTCACATCGCCAAATGCTGTATCCACAGACTAATCTGAAAATAGACCTTTTGCAAGCAAACTCCTATAAACTGTCATCAGTGTTAGCAGAACTTGAGAAAAGACCTCAACCCAGCCATCCCTGTAGTAACTCCATCTTCAAGTGGAAAGACAAGGTAAAAATTTAAGAGATTGTTGTAATTCCTTGACTGGGCTCGCTGGATGAAGTGGCTTAAAGTCGCATCAGGGCAAAAAAAGGTTTTGAATTAATTCTATGTGCCGTATGTCCCAAATCCCAACTGCAGAATTTTAAGATAAGCTTATTTTTATTTCTTTTGAGCACAGTAACAAGAGCTAAACCCAAATGAATATATTCTTTGTAGACCAAATTAATAGGAGGAGCTAACAACACTTTAGATTCCTTCTTTTTTCTCCTCATGCCTTAACTTTAATCCTTTGATTGTGCTATTGTAGTAAATGTTTATTGGATCAACATTTTAGTATTCATACACACCTAAATTGTAATATTATGTCCATTTAGCATAGGATATGATGTAGATAATGTGTGAGCACATTTTTTCAAATTCATCCACATTTATTCTCCTTTACACTCCCAAGTATCGATGATGAGCACGTGGACTTGGACGTGCGTAGCTGTAGTTTGAAACTGTTTTCCTTTTCCTGTCAGAAGGGGGCGCTGCGACCATTCTGTGATGACGGGAGTTTTCAAGGAGACTTGATATACAAAATGGTCTGGAGCTTTTAGACAAAGAGTCGTGATAATTCACTTGCCTTAAAGCCAATTAAGGTTGAATTTGCAGACATAATGATGTGAACGGTATTATTTCACCTAGAAGTGCAGGTCGGAATTGCAGACACTGACTATAAAATACAGTTATTGTCTAATTCTGAAAACGTTAAGGCTTCACAACAAGCTCTACAGCAGTGTTTAGGAATGCATTAAATAATTTATGTATATCCTTCCCCCAAATTAAAAACAAATTCCTGAGGGAGGCAGCTGCAGAAGTGCTATTTTGCATAAATACTTTTGATGACAGTGTTGTTTAAAATAATTTTTTTATTTGACTATTTGAACAGCAGCAGACACACAGTTATGTGAAAATATCTCGGCCTTTTCTGATGAAGAGATCAGAGAATGTGGTGACCAGAGCGTCCTCCGGTGGGCAGAGAATTCCCAGGTCTTCCTCTGCAGGTACTCCCGTGGCCAGAACAATTCTGGGCTGGGTCCTATTGATAAAGCACATTACTACATTCGCATTTTATTGTGAGAGCCACATTGACATATATCAGTTCAACTAAATCTGTATTTGAATTAGGATTAATTTGTTAGAATTTGTAGCTTTCTGTACAAATGAAACCCAAAAATGTAACCCAAGAAGAGTCAAGAAAAGTAGAGGGTTGGGAAAATTTTTTGTGATATGGAAAGGTACCTCAGATGATTGGCATCCTTGTCTTTCACACAGCCTGCAACTTGCTGCCCATGACCTTACCCCTAAGCCACTGTGAGGCGCTGTGGAGCTCCGTCTCTACAGCCTCCTGACTTCCCTGGAAACCCTGGCCTCCTCCCTGGGAGCAGCATGGTGATCGCAGGGCCTGGCCACCCTCTTTATTCAGCTACCTGACTTTATTCGTTTGTCTGTCCACACCCCCACTGCCTTTTGCCTTTCAACACACACACACACACACACGTGCCATTGTCTCTTGTTGTTCAGCTATGGTTGCCATAGCCATGACATTCTAGTTTCTCAAGGAGAAATTGGCAAAGTGAGTTCCAGGAACACTCAGGACATTGTGATCCCTGTGGTACATTGAAGGCTCACCATTGCATTTTTGGGAACCAGTCCCATGCGCACCTCGGGGTGATGGTAGGAAGCACCTGCCCCAAGGGTCCCCTGTCTGTACCTGGACAGCAAAACTTGTCTGTGTTTTCCAAAATATGCATGCAACTACCCGATGTTGATCAAGTTCATGTGGGAAACAAATCTTCATAAATTGTCATCTCTAGTATTATTATTACCATTATTACTATGGTAACTTTTTCTCCAGACTTATTGTTTTCTATATTATGATACAGTTTTCCATTATGTAATCTACACAGATCATACACATGTCATAAATAGACATAATATATGTCATAAATGGTTACTAAATCAAAAAATGAGCATTTTGTAAAATTATAAACTTTCCTTTTGAGGAGACTTCAATACATTTCAGCTCCGCACCATATTTCTAAATAACTAAAGAGCTTCCCAGCGAATTCATCTTGCCTACTGACAGAGCATTAGTAACTACTCTTTATTCAACTTTCAGCCTCTGGTGTGTCCCAGCTCAGCCACGGTCTTTGTAAGGCCTTATATTCTTTTCAAGCCAGGCAGGATGACGAATTGAACTTGGAAAAAGGTAAGAATCATTCTCAAATAGTTTAATCGGTTTCTGATGTTGAGACCCTTGGCTTGAATAAAACTCCTGTTTTAGTAGAGCAACCTTAAAAGTTTCTACCATGTTGAATCAGTTCAGATTTATAATCACCCTTCTTAGAAGATAAAGGTAACGCACATCAGCAATAAAGCTCACCTTTATTCAGGGTTTACTCTGTGTCAGACGTTGTAAACACACTATTCAGTTTAATATTCATAAAAACCCTCTGAAGTAGGTAATGTTATTTATTTCCATTTTATGGCTGAAGAGACAATCATTATTAGAATAGTTAAATAGCTGAAGTCACAGGAGGTGGTGGCTCAGGATTTGAACTCAGAAACTCAGAGTCATGCTTTTAATCACAGTGCTACACCAGGGGCAGCCCCTCCATTCTCTTTTTCAGAAAACTTAACATGCAAGGATGTGAAATGAGTTCCTCTCTGGGCTTACGTAAACAAAGTTCTAGAATCCAGGTCAAGGGACTGTCAGCTTAATGTTTCTCCCACTTATCTCTCAGGAAAATGTTTTATAACCAGTTTAAGAAATCAGACCCCCTTCTTTAGGCCACAGATTTATGTTTAACATAGAAAAATATTATGTAATGGATTACGTAGACCTCAACATGGTTAAATAAGAAAAAATCACCGGCCTCAACTTTTGTTGTGTATCCAGTTAGCAGCCACATTTGGATGTGAAAGCTAAGGCAGTGATCTGGAAGTGAAAAGGTTAGCATGTGGGAGCTGAGCTGTAGGAGAAAACTGAGTACCCATGAGGAGGGCGTGGTGCCCAGAGCCTGCGGAAAGTCAGGTGGGTTTTGCCACCAACAGTAGGGACACCCTGTATTTGCTACTGCTTGATGGGTGCTTCTTGTCAGTTGGCCGCTCAGTGTTCTCCAGGCGGCCACTCTTCCTTCTGACTCAGACGAAAGTAAAGACAAGAAAAAAGGAAATACACAGCAGACCCTCTCCTCCATTTATCTCAAATCAAAGTTGCCTTTATTTAAAAGTTTTAAGTGTCACAGAAGTCACTTTGTTACCCATCATGTCATCCTTAGGTACCTACAGCAGTAACTGAATAAATGAAATGCTGTATCCCCACTTTTATATGAATAAAAATCACACTTGTCAGATGCCACCTAGAACTCAAAGTGTCCCGAGTCTGAGTAACATAATCGCACAGTCACTTGATGGTCTTGTCTGCCTTCAGCTCTCTGGCGGTTGCAAATCCTACTTATCCTTTATAGCCTAAGAAAGAAGACATGGGAGGTTCAGGAAAGCTGGCAATAGATGTTAAATTATGTGTTTGAATTCCTGTTCATAGGTTGTGTCACTCTCCTGACCCGAGAGAATTCCTTACAGAGAAAACATAGCCTGAGAATAATCTGCAAGAATAAAGGGTGATTTTATAAATGGAGAATAGAAGAAGGTTTAACAGTTTCGTTTGCCTTAGAAAGAAAATCACCAGTGAAAAGAATGAAAGAAATACTGAAAAAAAAACTACCTCACAAATGATGCTCAGGATAAAGTAGCTCTTCTATCCTGACAGAAGAGGGTATTTCTGTTTTGATGTGCAGGAAGCAGACAGAAAGAGGGGACATTCTCTCATCAGAGAAGCACTTAGCCAGAGGGTTGGGGCAGGTTAAGCTTCAGAGTTATTACTAGCAAAACGGTATTTAAAAAAAAACAGAATTAGAGAAAAGCTATGTATTTCTTAGGAATTATGTTTATTTGAATCATTGTTTTAAAACAGTATTGCCTTCAAATTGACAGTTTATTAAAGTTATCTAAATTGTTGAAAGGGGGGTTCTTTTTCTGTGCAAAGCTGGGAGTTTGGAACTTTGGACTATGAAGCTGGTACATATAATGGAGAGAAGCGGTCTTGATTTTTAAAAATTTCTGATAGTTGAGACATACTTACAGTCATCAACATACCAAACTGTCCTGGCCACCAACATGAGAAACTCCTAGAGCACAGACACCAAGCGTCTGGTGGTGACCCGGCAGCTCTCTCCAAGGTGAGCCAGACGGCACGAGAAAGACAGATGATCCAAGCGGTTCCGTTTCTCATGAAAGTATTCCGAGTCACCGCATGGCTGCCCCTATTACTCTTTTTAATATTCTCTGCATTATGCCTGCTTCATACAGAGGTGCTCAATAAATTTTGCTTCATCTGAAGCACATGCAGAAATGATGCTACTGATTAACTACTTGGAGGCAAAATCTTCTTAAGACTGTCCCACTAGTGGGCTCAGACACATGCTCACATGACGGAGACCCATTTGTCTAACTAAATGTGCATTTTCATAGGTGACATTGTGACTATACACCAGAAAAAAGAAGAAGGATGGTGGTTTGGCTCTTTAAAGGGAAAGAAGGGCCATTTTCCAGCCGCTTATGTGGAGGAGCTCCCTGCAAAGGCTGGGAACACAGCCACACAGGCCTAAAACAAGATTCTGAGCACAGCGCCTTCCACACTCAGCGAAATGTACAGTGCACTGCAATAAAGATACATGCTGTTATCTTTGCAAGTTTATCTTTCTAAGTGGGTTATGGAGACAGCACTTTGCACTCTTGGTTATTTGCTTGGAACGGAGTTAGAAGATGGAGAGTGAAGGGAGAGAGGAAAAATATCCTGCAGCTCCTAGGTGACTCCTGAGAGAAACTAGAGGTGACCCAGTACAGACCCTGATGTGGAAGCGAGAGAGAGAAACAGACTGAGTGCGGGCAGGCTCACCGCCTCCCTGAAGTCACATCACTCTCTGGTAGCACAACAGAAATTAAGGCCCAGATGTCCTTTTGGTCTGGACTTGGCTGGCAGAAGCCAAGGCCAAGATCCACATGATCGAAAGAGGGGGTGGGAGGCAAAGTCCAAATACTAGGTAGAGGGTAGAGTGGAGATCCATTCTGAGCCAGTGACCTCTGAGTCAGTGGCCCCTTATATGCCCTCTGCCCTGAGCCGGAGCTGCTCTCGGAGTGAGTCAGAGATGGTTAGGGATCTGAGAGCGAGAACACAGTGGACAGAAAAGGGTTAGAAAGGGGGAAGTGGCTGAAACTTCGAACCTCCTTGCCTATTTGGAATCTTCATATAGCAACTCAAAAACAAGGAATTCTGCACTTCCCAGCAAGGCCATACAAAAGAAACACCCTAAACAGCTTCCTGGTGAAAAGAACTTTAAATGCTAATGTGTCTTTAATTTGGGTAAAAAGTTCTAGAACCCGATATTTGCTGTCAAAATAGAATATTTAGAAAGATGAAGATGTATGCCATTCCCTCAAACATCCTATAAAGTTAAAAGGTCTAGAATGAGAGACTGGTGGTGCCAAACTCTTCTCTAGGGGTATCATTTCAGAATGATGAGAACTGGTACAGTGGCTTCTTTCACATGCTTCTTCGTATGAAGTTCATAATGTTTACAGAAACAACTGGGCATGTTTACTTTTGTGTCGAATAGCAAGTCTGGCATTAAAGGAGTAATTAAAATCATTCTATTACCCTCATGTTGTGTCCCCTACCTCTTTTTTTTTAATTTGTCAGATTTTGTAATTTCCAAAAGTGATTTTTCAAACCTAGATACACATATTTCTCTGTGCTCCGCACCATTATATCCCTACAGCAGATAAAACACAGAGAGATTTATAAATACAGATATCAGACGTGAAGCAGCTCGAGTAAAATTTGTTATGTGAGATGTAACTTAAAGCCTTTAAGTTGTAACTTAAAGGAACAAATCAGAAGTTTTAATGTCATCCTTAATGGTATATTAATGAAGGCTTTCTGCATGTGGAAAGTTGGCTGAATAATAGGCCATTAGGCCAGGAACAGAGATTTTGAATTTATATTTCCTTTTCATCTTACTTCTTTCCATTAAGCCTAGGTGTATAAAAAAATTGTGTAGCAATTGACGGCAGCCTGCACTGGGTCATTTGTATAGAGAAAGTGATGATAATGGTGGTTAGGCCCTGAAACTCTTTGGAAGTAATTTTCAAAGAAAGACACCCCTTTTTATTCATAAATCAGTTTTACTTTGTTAAAAACAAAAATGGTTTTCCAGTTTTAGAATGCTGCTAAAAATTATTTTTACATCTGTGATATACAGTTTTTAAAATTCAAAGAAATACTACAGTCTTTAAATAAAACACCAATATAGTTGGGCATAACAAACTTACCATATAACGTTTTAGCAGGGCAAGAATTTTTTAGTTGGTCGGAGGGAGATGGTACCTCTTAGATTTAGTTAAATTTGAGGTGCATATTGTGAAGAGTAATGATGCGCCCAAGTCTTCCTACAGAATAAAGTTATTTTTAATATTAGTACTTTAAAATGCTTAATTGTGCTTTCATAATTTTATTCCACTAAGCAATTTTGTATGTCAGAAAGTTTCTAGCAACATTAACAACCTAATATATAGGCAATAGAGGTCTGAGCCAGATTTTCACTGAAAAGATCAGAAGTTTATTATTCTACTTTACCTCCTTTTTGGTAGAGTAAAAGCTGATATATCCATCATACAATCAAACAGAAAAATATATTTTCTTCTTTGTGTTTTCAATTACCCATACCAATTAACATTCATAATGACAAAAGCACCTTAATCATTTTAAAGTGCCTTCTGATCCATGAAAAAGTAACATCATATTCAGTTGGGGGCAACATAAAGTTTATTATATGGTATTAAAAGGCTTAAACTGACTAGTGATATGAACATAGTTTCACTTTACTCCCCCTCCAAGAGAAGAGCCCTCCCCCCAAAGCCTTGACGGCCTTGAGGAGTAATCAGCCTGACTCAGCACGCAAGTACATCAGAATCAAACTAACATGTCCCGTTATCCTTCCTGTTACGCCGGAAGAAGGTATGGCCTGGGGGAGATGGGGTGGGAATGAGGGACATAGAAAGTGGGACTTGGACTTGGACCTGGCTGTGGGGACACTGCAGGGGAGGCCAGGAAGCTTTGGCAGAGGGAATTCAGCCAGCTGGCTAGAGTGTCAGGGACTCCAGGGGGCTGTGGCCCAGAGCGGAGGGCCGGGGTCCCCAGCCTCCCGCAGAGCAGCCACCGGGCCAGGAGTGAGAGACCAGCAAGCTGCGGAGACTGGGTGCTCAGATCAGGGAAACCAAGTGAATGGGCGAGCGCCTGCAGCTAGGAACATCTGCCCAGTGGAGGCTGACCTAGGAGGTCCACAGAAACGGGAAGGAATAGGCTGGCACAGAATTAGAGCAAAAGCCTTTCTCAAAGGAACTGTGGGATAAGAGAAGCTGACTGAGGAGGGGCAGCAAGCTGAGCAGGCTGGAGAAAGACCTTAGTTCTGAAACGCAGGACTAAGAACGATAGAGACGGGGGCAACACAGGGACTGGGGCCGCCCGGCCAGTATGTGATGGGGCAAATGTGTGGGATCTTAGCTCCCGCTGGCTGGTAAATTGAGTTTCCCCCACTCTGGCAGCCCTTCTCCAAGGCCAGCCACACTGACATAACCTTGGACTTTGTTGGAAATGAAAATTATCAGCCGCCACTTTACACTCACTCAGGGACCCAGACGACTGTGATTCAAAAAGCTCTCCATCCAGATGATCCGAATGTGCATTGAAGCTTGAGAACCACCAGCTTAGGTGGATGAATCCTGAGAATATTGTCACAACTACAGCGAATGCATCAGGAAGGAGACACTGATGGGAAAGTGGAGAAACGCTATGCACGCCAGGAGTCGGCTCTAAAGAAGGGCTATCCCCTCCTTCTGATCTGATCAGGTTTTCAAGATGCTGGCGTTGGGGACACTGCTGGGAAGTGTGTCTTCACTGTGGGGCCGCTCATATAGGGGTCCCTTGCCTCTTCATTCTCATGCTCTTCCTTGGCCCCAGGAAGAAGGCATAGTTGGGCCTAGATGACACTCTCGGAAAAGAATCATCTTCCTCTTTCTCAGCCACTTACTGGATAATCTCATCAGCAAAATAAAGCACAGTGTAGGGCAGGGTGTGATGCCAGAGAGTGAGAAGCGAGCAGCCGTGCCTGCTCAGTCGGTTCCTCGTATCCCTGCTCTGCCCCGTGGCCCCCCACCCTCCTGGCCTCTCCCTCGTCTGCGCCTCTGCTCCAGGGCCCCCTGACTAGGCCTGCTCAGCTGGGTCTTCCATCTCCAGTCCAGCCTCTCAGCCTGCAACTGGACATGTGAAGACACATTTTACAACTTAGGGAAGAAGAAGAAAGTGCCTGTGTTTATCCAGAATCTGAACTCTCTTCTCCATTTCTGATTTACCCTTAATGCTGCCAATGCCACTACCATTTGCTTCCCTGAGCCTCGTCTTTCCAACAGGGGAAGTAACCGCAACACCCTCAGCGCCCCCAGGTTTTCTCTCTGCAGTCAATCCCTGCCCCCGCCCCGGCCCCCAGGCGGCTGCTCGTGTGCATTCTAAAGTGTACTTCTGTCTTTCTAGGATGTTGAATGGATGGAATCACACAGTCACCTTTTTATAATTGTTTCTTTCACTGACTGTGATGTTTTTGAGTTTTATCCACATTTTTGTATGTGTCAAGAGTTCTTTCCTTTTTATCGTAATTTCATGGTGTATATGTAGTCCTACTTCAGCTGACGAACATTTGCGTTGTTTCCACACTAGTCCCCTTAGCTGGGGTTTGCTTTCCAGTTTCGTTTACCTAAGGGGAAACTGCAGTCCCAAAGATGATCTCCTTCTGGCGGATTGTCAGAAGGTCAGTAGTAGCCTGACCTACCTCACAGTGCCTACATCATTCACTCCACTTCCTCTCACCTCTTAAAATGTAGGCATTTTACCATCTCACGTCATCACAAGAAGAAGGGTGAGTACAATAATTTGAGAGAGAGAGAGAGAGAGAGAGAGAGAGAGAGACCACATTCACATAACTTTTACTAGAATATATTGTTATAATTGTTGTATTTATTATTGTTAATCTCCTACTATGCCTGATTTATAAATTAAACTTTATCACAGGTATTCTGGCAAAACATGATTGGGTCCTGTCTGCTATTTCAGGCACCCACTTGGGGGTCTTGGAATGTATCCCCTGTAGATATGGTTGGGGGGGGACTACTCTCTTTTGTTGGTCATAGTGAGCAATGTTGTTACAAACATTCATGATCAAATTTGGGGAGGACATGTTTTCACTTCTCCTGGGGAGGTACATAGACTTTGAATTGTGAAGTTTATATTTAACTTTTTAAAAAACCCTACACATTGTTTTCCAAAGCAGCCATATCATTTTGCATTTCCACCAGCAGGGTATGAGAGTCCCAGATTTGGCCTCTGCTTGTCTGTACTTGATATTACCAGTCTTTTAAATTTAGCCATTCTAGTGGGTGTGTTTTAATTCCACTGTGGTTCTAATTTGTATTTGTCTAGTGACTAAGAATGCTGAGCATCTTTCCATGTGCTCACTGGCTATGAATTTACTTCTCATCTGATACGATAGCAGGTTTTCATGAGTAAACACTTCCTCAAGGTGGTGCTTGCATTTGAAAGGGTTGCTGCGAACTCTGAAATGGTTGTTTTAATCATTTGTCTGGTTTTATATTTGTTTCTGTGGGAGCATAATAACCCACCCCCTTATCAGGATTAGGGCCTTTGAATTGGATTTTGAAGGATAAATAGAAGTTATTGTACAAAGTGGTTGGGGCACTATAGACCTGTCAATAAATACTAGATCTTTAAAGACAATGAGACTTTTCCTCAATGAGCCTTTGGTCTCTTTTGTAAGAGAAACAGACCAGGAAACAGACCCAGTACTGAGATGAATGCTGTGCAATAAGGGCCTGCCAACGAGGGCGTGAGAACATTGAGGAGGGATATCAATCAGTATCAAGGAAGTCGGGGGAAATCCAAGCAGTAGGTAGGCAAGCGGGGCAGGTGGGGTGAAGAAGGGGTGGGTGGAGGAGAAAGAAGGCACTGTACCCAACCACTTGAAAATACACGCCGATAAAAACAGATCCTATACCGTGCCACAAAGCAAGTTTCTAGAAATTTTCTGACCACAGTAGAAGTCAGAAATCATTAAGGAAAAGAACTGAAAAAATCCTGTACATTAGGATAACATTACATATGTGTGCCTGCATACATACAAGCACACTTGTGCATACACACACACACCCTTCTAAATAACCCATGGTCAGAGAAGAAATCTTAACAGAAATCAGAAAATGTTAGAAATAAAAAATAAGAACGCTACTACAGTAAGTAAGCTACAGCAAGTAAGTAACTATAAAAAGCACAAAACACATCACATAAAAATGTCAGGTTGGGGGTAGCTTATGGGATGGAAAGAAATGGGATACATTGTCTGTTCAAGAACATCAAACTTACGCAAAGTCTTTACGAAATCAAAAACTAAAAGAGGATTTAGTAGTTTAAGAATAGAGCCTTCACTGAATTAGGCCGTGAAGCATGCACACACCACTGTCAACCTCCTCAAATACAGAGACTCCTGTGTAACCTGTGAGCAGGTACTAAACATGGAAGAGGGGACAAGCCC